CTTTCTTTCTTTCTCTCTCTCTCTCTCTTTCTTTCTTTCTTTCTTTCTTTTTCTCTTTTCTTCTTTCTTTTCTCTCTTCCCTTTCTTTTCTTTCTTTCTTTGCAGAGTCTTGCTCTGTTGCCAGCCTGAAATGCAGTGTCGCAATCTTGGCTCACTGCACCCTCTGCCTCCAGGTTCAAGCAATTCTCCTGCCTCAGCCTCCCAAGTAGCTGGGACTACAGGTGTACGCCACCATGACTAGCTCATTTTTGTATTTTTAGTAGAGGCAGGATTTCACCATGTTGGCCAAGATGGTCTCAATCTTCTGACCTCATGATCTGCCTGCCTCAGCCTCCCAAAGGGCTGGGATTACAGGCATGAGCCACTGCACCTGGCCACAAATTTTTATTTCTTATGCTAAATGCATTTTAATAAAATTTCTAAATTGAGAAAAAAAATAAACAAGTGCTCAATCTTTAAAAAAGAATGGAATATTATTGTAATCTAGTTCTGGTGTGGGTGCATAGATGATGTTACATATTGGATTTTAAAGGGTTAATGAATGTTTCAAAACACCTTCTTCTTTGCTGAATGATGTTGGCAGGGTTTAAAGCTGATTTGTGTTCACAATACTTCCTTCAGGAAGTATTCACACAACATCTCCAGCTGGTGTTACTCTCTCTGCTACTTCTGCACTTTTTTCGTGGCTCCATTACTGCCCCTTGACTGGGTGATTTATGGGTTTGATATGCAGGCTGTCTCTCTTACTAGCATGGAAGGTCTTTGAGGTGTTTCTCACAGGCATTATATGTAGATGCTTTAAAAGCTTATTGAGTGAATTAATGAATTAGTGAGTGGGTGGATGGATGATGGTACCAGTCAAGCTAAAATACATAACTGTCCGCAAGAAGTTACTGTTTGGCACATGTATGGGTCAGGGTCTCTACAGACACAAAACCAATAAGATATGCACATACAGTAATGTGCTGTACAATGATGTTTCAGTCAAGAATGGAACACATTTATTATGGTAGTCCCATAAGATTATAATGGAGCTGAAAAATTCCTATCGCCAAGTGATGTTGTAACTGTCATAATGCAATACATTACTTACATGTTTGTGATGACACTGGTGTAAACAAACTTACTGCACTGCCTGTTACTTAAACGTATAACATATATAATTATGTACAATACCATAATACCCAACGATGATAATAAATAACTATGTTACTGGATTATGTGTTTACTATACTATACTTTTTGTCATTATTTTGGAGTATATGTTTTTGACTTATTATAAAAAAAAAAGTTAACTGTGAAAAGCATCAGGCAGGTCCTTCAAGAGGTATTCCAGAAGGCATTGCTGTCATAGGAGATGACAGCTCCATGCATGTTATTGCCTCTGAAGACCTTCCAGGAGGACAGGATGTGAACATGGAAGAAATGCTATTAATGATCCTGATCCTATGTAGGCGTAGACTAATGTATGTGTTTGTGCCTTAGTTTTTAACAGAAAAGTTCAAAAAGTAACAAATAAAAACCTAAAAACAGGAAAAGGTTGTAGAATAAGGACATAAAGAAAATATTTTTCTACAGCTTTATAATGTGTGTTATAAGTAAGTGTTATTACAAAAGCATCAAAAATTTAAAAACAGTTAAAAAGTTTATGATGCAAAAAAGTTAGAGTAGGCTAAGGTTAATTTATTATTGAAGAAAGAAATGTTTTGTAAAAGTGTACGGTGTTTATAAAGTCTACAGTAGTGTACGGTAATGTCCTAGGCCTTCACA